GCATTTAAAGGGATCCTTCGAATGCTTTTGAGAAGAAGCGGGGGGTGGTGTGCACCCCTCTCCCTCTCGCTTGCAAGATTTAAAGGGCCCTCCAGCTGATCGGCGGGTCACGTGCTCCCCGCTGATCAGCTGAAGGGCCCTTTTAAACCTTGCGGGAGGGAGAGGGGCGCGTGCCACCCCCTCTTCATTATGGCAAATAATGGCAGCCCCATCGCCCCCAGCAGATTTGCCCCACAAGCAGTGTTCCCTCTAAGCTGAGTTGGTGTGAGCCAGCTCACAGTTTTTTAGCCTCTGGCTCACAGATTTTTGTCTCCGCTCAGGAAGGAGGGCTCCAGAGCAAACTGATTTATGCAGCACCCAAATCACTCACTCACTCACAACTTTAATGCCACTCGCTCACAAAGCAGAATTTTTGCTCACAAGACAAAAAAGCTCCAGGGTATAGAGAGCACACTCCCCACAAGCCACAAAATCCAGGCTACGGGTCTGGGTGTCTGTGAGTAGCAAGGCGCCCAAGGGCGCCACGTTGGAGACCCCCGATCTAGGGCGGCCAGGCTTGCAATGCTCTGCAGTGTCCTCGGCAGCATCTTGGGAAACCATCAAGCAAATTTCTCATCCTCGTGACCGAAAGCACTAGGAGAATATAAACACAACCGGAACAAGACACCAGAAAGAGCCTCACACTTCTGCACGCACTCCCCCCCCCTTGTAAATTCCCAGACTCCTAATCCCATTTCTTTATTTCAACGGGCAGACTGGTGATCACGGGCGGGACCCGCTTGCGTGACAGATGTGCCTACCGCAGTCATAGACGTTATGCTAACAATGCGCTGACATCTAAGCAAACGAGCTGCCGTCTTCTCATTCCTGATTCATTTCCAAGTGGCTGTCGGGAGGCAAGACAGTGTCAGCGCTTGGGTGGCCCCACAGCTCTGCCCGGATAATAGGGTGAAGACAGATTAAGTCAGGCGAGCTCTCGGGACAGCGAGCTGGAAGCTCACGTCCACCTCCGAGCCCCTACGCCTCTAAGACTTTCACACCTGTCTGGCTTGCGGCCACACCCACACAGGGGAATCGGTAGACAAGAGGCAACCATCTGGCACTAACTCGCAGGCACTTCTAATTCGGGTGGATTGTTGGCATATATATATGGTTGGGTGCTGTTGTGAATCAGTTCAAATCCACGGACGGAAGGTGACCGTATAAGCCAAGCCGGCGGTGGACCATAAATCCGTCTGCCACCCTGTGGCAGGGATAGAACAACATGAACGAGACGGGTACCTCCGTAGGAGGCGGCGCTGGGATCCATGCCTACAGACATGGAGCTTCGGGGCAGGGTTTGGATCCAGAGCACGGGAAGATGGGGTCTGAACTGGCAGACACATTGATGGGGTCTGACTGGCAGAGGCTGATCAAGAGAGAGATCTTGGAGTTGTAGTAGATAACTCCCTGAAAATGTCGAGACAGTCTGCAATCAAAAAGGCCAGTGCTATGCTGGGGGTTATTAGGAAGGGTATTGAAAATAGATCAGCCAATATCATAGTGCCCCTATATAAATCAATGGTGCGACCTCATTTGGAATACTGTGTGTAGTTCTGGTCACCACACCTTAAAAAGGATATTATAGGTTTGGGAAAAGTGCAGAAAAGGGCAACTCGAATGATAAAAAACCTTTCCCTATGAGGAAAGGTTAAAGCGCTTAGGGCTCTTTAGCTTGGAGAAACGACGACTGAGGGGTGACATGATTGAGGTTTATAAGATTATGCATGGGAAAGAGCAGGTAGAGAAAGAGGTACTTTTCTCCCTTTCTCACAATACAAGAACTCGTGGGCACTCCATGAAATTGCTGAGCGGTCGGGTTAGAACGGATAAAAGGAAGTCCTTCTTCACCCAAAGAGTGATTCACACATGGAATTCACTGCCACAGGAAGTGGTGGCAGCTACAAGCATGGATGGCTTCAAAAGGGAATTAGATAAGCACAAGTGGAGACCCGCAACAAAATGTTGCCTACTGAGTTCTAGCTGGGTCTCCACTTGTTCTCTTCCCCCCCCCGGCTCTGAGCCCCACAGTCTGGAGC